CATATTAATATACACATCCAAGAAGCTCAACCAACTCCAAGTAAGATAAACTTAAAGAGATCCATAACTAGGCACATCAAAGCAGCAAAAAGCAATTCATCATATACAAAAGAACCTCAATTAGGATAAACTTAAAGAGATCCATAACTAGGCACATCAAAAAGCAATTCATCATATACAAAAGAACCTCAATTAGATTAACAGCTGATTTCCCATCAGAAACCATGGAGGCCAAAAACAATGGAATGGTATATTCAAAGTACTGGCATACTGACTGAACAGGGAAGGAAGTGCAAGGGGAGGGGAGGAAGGAAGGTTGGCAAGTGGTAGGGGGAGTTATAAACCAAAAGTTCTATATCTTACAGTTACCATTCAGTCATTTCTAGATAAACAAAACTGAGAAAGTTTGTCTTTAGCAAACCTGCTCTATAATAAATATGACTGAAATAAAAGAACACTAGATAGCAACTTGAATCAATATATGAAGAAATAAGGGGCACTGGTAAAAGCAATTACATAATTAAATATAGAAAATGGTATAAATGTATTTTTTGCTTTAATTCCTTTTTTCCTGTTTGATTTAGAAGACAACTCCATAAAATAACTGTACATCTATGTTGATGGAAACAAAATGGATAAATATGCAATTTGTGACAATAACAACATAAGGAAGGGGGAATAAAGCTATACAAAAGCAGTTTTGTGTACCATTGAAATTAAGTAGGTATTAATCTAAACTAGTTTGTTATAAATGAGATATTAATAAAAACAGCAGGTAACCACCAAGAAAATAAGTTTAAAAAATATAGTAAATGAAAAAAATGGGAATTAAAACAGCACACTAGAAAATAACTAAGACAAAAGAAGGCAGTAATGGAGGGATAGAGGAAAAAAAGAGATTCTATATAATAAAGAGGTAATATACAAATTAACCCTTACACCCTCACAAGATGGCTGCCTACAACCAGGCCGGCAGGGGAGTTAGTGAGGAACGACCAAATGACTGAACAGCAGGCTGCATGGGGCGACCAGGCCGGCGGGGGGGGGCAGTTAGGGGTGCCCAGGCCGCAGAGGGGGGGCAGTTGGGGGCAACCAGGCCGGCAGGGA